AATGGCCACCTTCTACCAAAAGTGTCATTAGACTGTGTGCCATGCTTATAGTATTCACATAATAACAAATATGAACAAAATCGCTCCACTACTTTTCGAGTTATAGTAAAACATGTTAAAATGGCAGCCATTTTTCATTTTTCAAAATGGCCACCTTCTACCAAAAGGGTCACTAAACAGTGTGCCATGCTTATAGTATTCACATACCAAATATGAACAAAATCACTCCACCACTTTTTGAGTTACAGCAAAATTCGTAAAATAACGAGTAAAGGCCGCCATTTTTCAAGATGGGTGCCATGTGCTTCTTTAATATCTACATTTCTAGCTTTATTAATGTCTTTTATAATTTTTTTACATTTAAAACATTATTGCTATTACAATTTTTCATATTGAACATAAATTAATGTAAAATCAGCACTAAAATGGCTGCCATTTTTTATGAGCGCCCATTTTGAAAATTGGCTTTCGAGCAGAACTTCTATCCCCATAGGGTATATGTGTACAAAATATGAACAAAATCGGGTCAACAGTATATGAGTTATTGCCCGGACAAAGGGATGGACGGACAGACGTACGTACGGACGGATGGACAGACGCGTTCCCTATATCCCTCCAAACTTCGTTCAATGGGATAATGATATTTTTCACATAATTAACATCCAGTACCTTATCAGTCAAGATGGAACACGAGTCATTTTCATTATAATTAGATGGGCAGAATAATGGTTAATATACGATATAAATATACAACTAGAAAAACAGCAACTCCACGGAGTAGCAAATCCTACAGAACAAAACATGTTTTGGTAAATAGCGGCCAGCATATAAAATTTGAGCCAAATCAATCCACTGGTATTTGAATTATCTAAGATTGTGTTTTTATGAAACATGGTTGCAATTTTGAAATTCAGCTGTCATCTTTAGTTTTCTTCTTTAGCAGAGCTCCTATGTCCCAAGGCATCATCATATACAATTTAATCCAAATCCTTAACTTGTGCTTGAGTTATCAAGGATTACATGTTTAATGAAAAATGGCAGAGATTTCGATAAATAGCAGCCACCTTGAAAATTTCTTCTATCTCCTTTATCTCTAGGCATCAGTATATAAAATTTGAAGTAAATCCGCCTAATGGTATTTGAGTTATCAAAGATAACCTTTTTTATGAAAAATGGCAGCCATTTTGAAATTCACCTGATGCATTTGAAATTTCTTCTGAAGCAGATCTCCTATTTCCCTAAACATCAGGATATAAAATTGGAACCAAATCCATTCACTGGTATTTGAGTTATCAATGATTATGTTTTTTTACAAAAAATGGCGGCCATTTTGAAATTCAGTGGCCATCTTAAAAATGTCTTCTTGAGCAGAACTTCTTTGTATCTAGGCATCAGCATATAGAATTTGATCCAAATCCATCGACTGGTATTGGAGTTATCAAAGATAACATTCAAAAGTTTCATTCTTTAATGAAAAATGGTGGCCATTTTGAAATTTAACTGCCATCTTGAAAATCCCTTCTCGAACAGAGCTCCTATCTCCCTAGGCATCAGCATGTAAAATTTTCACCAAATCCATTTAATGGTATTGGAGTTATGAAAGATAACTTTTTTACGAAAAATGGCCACCATTTTGAAATATGGTGGCCATCTTGAAAATGTCTTCTTTAGCAAGACTCCTTTGTACCCAGGCAAAAGCAAAAAAATTGATCCAAATCCATTCAATGGTATTTGAGTAATCAATGATTATATTTTTTCCGAAAAATGGCCGCCATTTTAAATTTATTGGCCATATTGAAAATTCCTTCTCGAGCAGAGGTCCTACACCCATAAGGCATAAGCCTATAAAATTTGAATGAAATCCATCAACCGGTATTTGAATTATTGCCCGAACTTCGTTCGATGGGATAATAACAAAATGGAAGGGAATAAAAATTCAGTTTACAGGGTTATTTTGATATTTCAAAAACAAGAAACCAAAAAAAGATGTGTTTTAAATGTTAATCAGTGATTTTTGCTCTGCAAGGCCTACATATACACATGATTACCTATACCAAAAATAGGTTTCAAAAATTACAACTCAAAAGTTATGAAGACCTATATTTCAACCTCTGATTTCTCAATATCAGCGAAAATGCAATTGTAACAATGTGGAAATAATAGGACGATATGTAGATATAGGTAGATATAGGTGGTGCATAGTAATTTTTGCTTCTTTGTGTTTTGATTAGAAGTATGGCATGCTTTTTACTCATGAAGATTAAAATGTAAAGAATATTTTTTAGTTTTTCATCATAAAATGACAGTAGCTTGACACCTTATGTAATATAAAGGTTTGAATCATCAATTATTTTAAAAATAAGTAAAATTCTTAAATTATCGGGGAGGTTTCACATAAAGGATATTAGCTAAAACGCATCTGCAACCCAATCTCATTCCGATCGAACTGCTATGCCTAAATCTGGTGAATTAAGTAAAAACGTGCGAAACCTCTCTAATAGAAATGCTATTTTAACAATTATTTAGTTGAGACTTGATTATGCAAGCTAAGTTCTCACTCACCAGGGGAACAGTGGTATCCAGCTGGACATGTCACTGTTTCATTAATCACCACAGCACCATAACTGTTATCACAATAGTAACCTGCAGGACATAACTTTCACTCACTCTGACCAATGTTGCCTTGGTATCCGTCACTGTCGTAGATGAATGAGTCATATGTGCCCTCAGGACAGTAGTAGCCTATGGGGCATGGCTGAGGGTTCTCAGTGATCTCACCTTGGGGGCAGTAGAAACTGGCACTGCAGTTAACTGTAAGTACAAAGTAAAATAAAATGAAATTAAAATGATATGTTTGAACAGTACCATTAATGAATCACAATGAATCAGTCTAATATCTAATGTTGGGTGTTTTCCTAATGGCAAGTGCAGTAACTGACAGTATGTTCTTTTTGTAAAACCCAAGTCATGAAAATGAACAGAGAAAGTTTTGATTGAAATCAGCCTATCCCCTATCATACTGCATCAAGCTACATACCAGCATCCCAGGGTGAACCCACTGCAGTCATATTCCATTTGGGACAGTAATTCCCACCAGTGCAGTTCTGACAGTTTCCTATAGATGTCCTCCTAGTTGCACAGTTTTATGTTCCTGGGGGACAAGCTAGTGGGGCAGAGAACTGTTGGGGGCAATAATGACACATGGGACACTCATCAGCACTTGCTCCCAGGAAGGGTATGGTACTATCTGATCCAAATGCACAGAAGTAACCTGTATTGTAAAATACATGTTTACAATTCAAATTATCCATTTATCTTTAATATCCTCTCATATTTACGAAGGGGTTGATGAGGCCCTGATGATGGTTTCTACTTAATAAAGAAGAACAAAAACAGATTGCTTTTCATGCAAAAAGCTGTTTTATGACTACAATACTGAAAATACCTGGTATGTAGAATACACCTGGGGAAGATATAATAGAGAAGTTTCAATTGTAGGTTAAAGGTTAACAAGGGGTAAAGGATCACTTACCAGGGTCACATGGCCCTGTAGGCTCAGGCAGCACTTGTGTCTCACAGTAAATTCCTCCTGTACATGGCTGACAGAACTGTATACCATATACATGGGTTTGGCTGTTGAATGTCCCTACAGGACAGGGATTCTCTGTTGCAAATGTTGCGTTTACTTCACAGTAGTACCCTATGAAATAAAAGGAGGACTAAAGTAACTGTCTATAAAACTGTCATTCTTCTAATTTATAGTGATTCTGTAAAGAAATCTCTATTATTTTCATTTCATATAATGTCACATTTAATAAGATGAAAGGGACAAAAAAATATTGACATTGTAATTATACCTAAGCAAGCAATGGTTTGTTTTTGCTCATGTCCTATCAATGACTGAATCAGTGGACAACAAGGATGCCACTCAATCACAACCACAATCACTGCATGTTCTTACTGATGATACTATTTGGTTAATTAAAACACAGAATGAAATCCTGAGCTGAGGGCTGCTGTAAACAAGGCACAGACGTGAACAATATCGTACCTAAAACACAGCAGTGTGACAGTGAAGAATTTAGGACGGAAAATCCAAAATGGCCACCTTAAAATTTACCCAGAATGCCCAAAAACGAATCAGTTCTTAACTTTGATACGTAGAAACATCCCTGAAAATTTCAGATGAATCCATCAAATGGTTTGGCTGGAAACCTGTAGACAAGTCTTGAAAGTGAAGATTTTAGGACGGAAAATCCAAAATGGCCACCTTAAAATTAACCCAGAATGCCCAAAAACTAATCAGTTGTTAACTTTGATTATGTAGAAACATCCCTGTAAATTTCAAATGAATCGGTCAAATGGTTTGGCTGGAAACCTGTAGACAAGTCTTGAAAGTGAAGATTTTAGGACGGAAAATCCAAAATGGCCACCTTAAATTTTACCCAGAATGCCAAAAAAACTTATCAGTTCTTAACTTTGATACGTAGAAACATCCCTGAAAATTTCAGATGAATCCGTCAAATGGTTTGGCTGGAAACCTGTAGACAAGTCTTGAAAGTGAAGATTTTAGGACGGAAAATCCAAAATGGCCACCTTAAAATTTACCCAGAATGCCCAAAAACTAATCAGTTGTTAACTTTGATACGTAGAAACATCCCTGTAAATTTCAAATGAATCCGTCAAATGGTTTGGCTGGAAACCTGTAGACAAGTCTTGAAAGTGAAGATTTTAGGACGGAAAATCCAAAATGGCCACCTTAAAATTTACCCAGAATGCCCAAAAACTAATCAGTTCTTAACTTTGATAAGTAGAAACATTCCTGAAAATTTCAGATGAATCCGTCAAATGGTTTGGCTGGAAACCTGTAGACAAGCCGAAAAGTGAGACACCGCCCGCCCACCCGCCCGTCAAGCTGACCAGACAATATCGTACCTTAATTAGGTACGATAAAAAGTCAGTCAGTCTACTTACTCGCTTACTAACTCAGCCATGGGGCAATATGAAGTATTGTAGAGTATGATTGGTGCCATTGTAATATCACTGAATAAACCCTGTGGACACTCCAGTAGTATGCCATGCAGTATGCCATGCCCAGTTTGTCCTGGTATGAGCCAGAGGGACATCAGATAGGAGCGTCACTTCCAGTGGGGCAATAGTGGCCTAAACATAACAAGTTAATAAATATATGAAATTATGAAGATCACTCAAGTGGAACAACAGTGACCTTATACAAATAACAAGTCAAAATGTATGTGCAGTAATCGAAAATCCATTTGAAATCAGTTTGGAAATTGGATCATCATAAAAGTTTACAAAATTAATGTTTCCTCATAAGAGCCATTTACCTTCCTTGCAGTTATACCCAGTAGAGGAATCATCATCTTGACCCCCAGGATAGTAATATACAGCAGAACAAAGGCCAGTAGGAACATCATTCCCACTACCAGCACAACAAAAGCCCACAGTGCAGAGTTCACAGTCTGAGACGTCATCATTGCCAGTGCTGTTGAGGTAGTAACCAGCCTGACAGAGTTGAGGAGCAGCTGTACCATTTCGACAGAATTCTTCACGAGGACAGATGTCCCCTGAAATAATAAATTATACAAACTTGAGTAATACTGTTGAATTGCATGAAGGTTGTATAAATCATATTGTGCAGTGGGCACTAACAGATTGCAAGTGTAAAATAATAATAAAAGAAATTGTCAATACTAAAACAACTTCAATAATGATTTACTTATTGAAACATTATCATTAATTTGGGAGAACACTGAAGTGGTGAAAAATGTTATTTTTAGGGGTGGGACGGATAACCGAAATACCGAAAAACCGCGGTTCATAGCCTTCGGATCGGTTTTCGGATCACGGCCCTACTTTCGGATCAGCTTTTCGGATCGTTTTCGGATTAATATTTCATTGGTCAAGTATCAATAAAACAGTTAAAAACACTGTTTTACAGCAACATTTTTGATATTCCTAGTCCCTACCTTGTCTTTCTTGTCTGTTGCTAGCTCACTCGTTTACTAGATTCGTTTCGTATCCGCGTATTCGTATCCCTCGGTAATCAATCATGTGGTCCCTGGTACTATATTCTTTAGTCGTGTATTCTTAATAATATGTATTGTTCATGAAATACTATAAAATAAAATTCCATCTATAAAATATTGTTATAACGTGGCATAATTGATACAAAGATTTGCGCAAATTTATATTTGCGCAGGTTCGATATAGGGTATTATTTTGTGCGCACCCACAATACATTCAAATATGGCGTCTGGATCTCAAAAACCCGTTTTCCCAAAAGAAATGAAGATTATAAATTAGTTATTTTATTGGTTGTATTAAAAGAAAGTGACAGTCAGCAGTGAAGTCAGAGACAAAGCAGCTAATCATGTCAATCAATACAAATCCTTAAAATGAATGAACCGAACCGAAAAAACCGAACCGACGGCTGATGATCCGAAAAACCGAACCGAAACGAACCGTCCCATCCCTAGTTATTTTACAGGTTGTCGAATGGCGTTGTGTCCCCCCCCATCCACAGCATAAAGTAGGAGAAGTACACATCAATACTATATACCTTTGGAAAGAGCATAAAATTGTTGTTAAAGTGTGAAAAGATGAAAATGCATGACAGAAAATAAGACACATTTTGAACTAATTTTTGAAAGTGAGTATGATCACCTTGGGCAGTGGAAAATGGCTGTGACTAGCTGGACATGAGTTATAAAAGCCATGGAGAAGAGCAATGTCTTTCTCAAGAGATCTCAATACTTTTTTGAGGTCCTTGTGCAGGGTGGCTTTGGAATATCTGTTTTCTGTAGCTTCAATAAGGTGTTCTGTTTTATCCATTAATATGGACCTCATATGATCTGCAGAATTCAAGGGATGTTGCTTGTGTATACGTCAATGCCGAAAAAGTCTATGCAGGAATTCGTCAAAATCATTAAAAAGAGCACCATACTAGTATACTTCAGTTGTGAAAAAATATGTAGCAATACCTGACCTTGGTCATCTGCTGTTTATTTTATCAAGCATTGAATGCTATTTCCAATAACATACAGAATCTTATACATATATATATATATATATATTCTCCTAGATAGGTACTTCTCCTAGTTTATGCTGTGGAAGAGGGAGGGGGGGGGGGCACAACGCCATTTGACAACCTGTATAACTGTCATGCAATTGGTCTCACTAGTTATATTTTTCTGTGACATAAACATTTTTGCTTTATTCATACCAGTGGTACCATCATTAGTGGGGTTTAAGGCATAGTAGCTGATGATGTGCAGTAATATCCTCCGAAACACTCACCAGACATTACTCCTAAATAATCAGTAGCGCAATGGATCCTTCAGGGCAGTATTCTCTGGTCACGCAGTTGCAGACCTACCAGTATAATAATAAACTGCTTTACATAGGCCAGTTGAAGTTGTCAGGCCTGTTTATTCACAGTACTGTCCACCTGAATGAAAATGGAGTAATATGATCACAGTAACGCAAGACAGAAGAGGAAGAATGAGAAAATATCCAATTGAGATTACAATTTATATGATAATAATATTTGTATCACTGTTTCCTCCTCAAAATATCTCTACTGTCAATTTTATTATTTTTTAAACTGCACGTTCATAGTTTTTACAAGATGAGTTTTCCCAGACTCAATAAAATACATAATTTAATAAAAGAAACAGTACCAACCTGGACAATCTAAGCAGTCTTCAACTTTAGTACGATGATATATGTTGTTGTATTTCCCAGCTACACATGGGTACTGGTTCCATGCCTCAGTGCCATCTGGACAGTAGTGTCCACTGAGACAATCATAGTTAGCGTAGTTCACAGCACCACTAGGGCAGTAGTAACCTACAGTAAAACAAAGCATCTGTTGAATGTTGAGAACCAATAGGGTGGAGTCTTCCAAACCCTAGCCATCCAAAGATAAGCTTCCAAAGACAAGTTGAACCACCGAGCAAATCACCCAAAGACAAGGAACTCCTAGTCACTTAGAGATAAATAACTCATGTAACTGTTGTTTAAAGGAACTGACTGATTGATGCCATGTGGAAACTCCCAATCGACTCCAGAATTACACAAGTTGCCTGCAGCAAAATCACCTGTAACATGAGCACTCAGAAATAAGTGTTTAAGAGCATTTAAGATTTAATTCTCTTTTAAAATCAGTTTTTTGAAATGACTTAAAACACAAATGCTCAGGCCAAGTTTTAGAGTTGGAATGAATCACGGAGCTTCAATCTCTTCATATCACAGTGACCAGGTAAGATATGGTTCAATGAATTTACCTGAAGGTGTTGGGGGGCAGAGGTAGCACTTCATATCCTGGGTGTAGTTCACATAGTTGTTGGTTTTGCTGGGGATAGGACCCGGGCAAGTTCCCTCAGAGCAGTTATGTCCAACTGGGCAGACAGTCGCTCGGGCACCACTCCATATTGAGCCTATTGGACAATAGTATCCAGGATCACACCTTGGTTTTAAAAAACCCTCAGTCTCAAAGTTTCCAGGACATGGGAAACATTTTGTATCATTCTTCATTCTTACATTGCTGTATGTCCCAATTGGGCACTGGATTTGGTTTACTGTGCTTTCAGTGCAGTATTGACCCTCTGGGCAGATGATGAAGTCAGGGGTTGTAATGCTACTGGGGCAGTTATACCATGCGTCACATTCCCCACTTGGCAGTTGGTTGCCACAGTAATAGCCTAGAAACAAAGGCATATTTCTGATATGTTGAAAACAGAAGGACAAGTCATTAACATGCAAATGTCAACTACTCCCATTTGTTACATTTGTTAAAGATTCCAAACACCAACTGCTGACTGCCACCCCAAAAAGTTAGAGACTATAACAATTTGTCACCAGTTCTGTTGGTGACATGAAAATGTATTTTGAAGACTACCAACTCAATTTTCGTTCAAAATACACTTTTCATTCAAAATACACCTAGATATTTTCCTTAATTATTACATGCAGTAAAAAATGTCAAGTAAAACACCTCTGATATACAAATATAACACTTTTCTTGTAACTCATTTGGCTTAGAGCACAAGTGGAATACTTTATTTAGAGGTACTTGAGGTGTTCCACTTATGTTTTACCAGTATAACCTACCCTGCATTGAAGATCTTTGAATACATGTATGCGGTCTGGGCAGTCTGATCACAGTAATAGCCACGGGGACACTCTGTACAATTTGCCTCATTCTGGAGCCCTGTTTCATTGCCAAATGTTTCACTGGGACGGGGATACTCATTGGATAAGCGGGTGCCAGCAGGACAGTAATAACCTGAAATAAACAGTAATTATGTGATAAAGTCCTCCAAATTGACCATTTGAGTCAAAATAAATTTTATGCTTAACAAGACAAAAAGCAATGCTGTGGCTTAGCAAATCCCATCGAACACCTTTTTAAGTGCCACACAAAGTTATGAGCCATCAGTTCTCAAAATAAAGGCATGAATCATCTGTCATCATATTCTTGTAATTTCCTTTATTCATAAAGATATTTGGAAATGTACAAGTCAAAAATTATTTTAATGGCAGTTGTGATTTATCTTAGTTTAATTGAAATGAGAGTTAATTTAAAAGGAGAAACAGATCTACAGAAAAAATGTTTCAATTATACAACATTTTGATCTTAAATCATTCCTTATTACATTTATTCCTTAATAATCCCCAATTTTTATGTGTTAATTCTTCTGTAATGATATCAACATTGATTTTTTGAGAATTTTTACATGTTTGCACTTTGAATCTTAATAACTTCTTCATTTGATAGATATATTTATTTCATTTCAAAATTTTACAATATATATCCTTTCAAACGCCTGAGGGCATAATAGAAGGAAATATTAGATAAGACAAATACATATTAATATAAATAAGGCGAAGGAGTTAATACTGATAGAATATCATAAATCATTTGGAACATAATATGTTTAAAGTGATAAGGAACTGATTTGGAGCTCCAATGTACATATTGCTTGCAAATTGTCAACCAATATACTATCTTTAGATCTGTTCCTGCCTTTAATGGTAAGCATTATAATATGGATTGAACTGAGAGGATTAGGTTGGACTGGTTTAATGTAAAATACACTCAATCAAATCCATATTTTAATGCCCATCCCTTTAAATAAAGTACTCACCTCTTAGGAGAGAATTTGCTCTTTCTTATTCATTCTAATTCATATACGTATGTCTATACTGCTGATGTACCTTAACTTTTACATGCTATTATTAGTAATGAATACATTTAACTGTTAAACAATCTTAACTGTTAAACAATCTTACTTAATGTGGCAACCATATCTAAGATCAACGTCTACTTTAGCTATACATATATATCTTAAAACAAAATAAAAGCATATTATATCATTCATATCTTCTGTTCATGATTTCTTCTTGTCATAATCGGTTGTTTATTCTGGTTTAGTCTGTTGTAGATCTGTTTTTTTTAAATTATTGATTTTTCCTCTAATGTTCACTTTTCTATGTTAAATACTTTTTTTCATTTTTTCTATGGTCATTTATTGTTTTCCTCCCTGCTGTGTATTGTCATATTGACTGGTCTGTCCTGATCAAATGATAATACTTTTCTGGTGTTCGGCTTTCAAAGATGTTCGTTTTCTTTTAAATGATAATCTTCTGTTTACTGTTACATTGTGTTAAACTTATCTTGATTTTTTGGGGTTTTTGTTGTTGACATCCTCTTACTCCTTTTTCTAACCTCATTTTTGCATTCCATTATTAGTAACAAATAAAATACATATATGACTAATTGTGGCAACTATATCTAAAAAGATCTACAAATATATCTTACCACAAAATAAATTTATTTAATCAAATTAAGGCCTCTTCTGTTCAATATATCTTGTTTTCTCAGGTATTGTTTTTCATTTTGCAATGGTCTCTTATAGAATTGTTTTCTAGTAGTATCTTTCTGTGGTATGTTTGAAATAGTACATTTTCTGCAGGACACATTTACATATAAACTTTGTTCAAGTAAAGGTTACTGTAAGGATGTAATATTGTGTACCGTCAGTATTTATTATCTTCAATGTCAATGTTCAGCTTGCACATGGTTATCTAATAATTACTTAACATTCCTAATAATCACTTTGACCATTTCATGGTAGCTCAGAGTACAGTAAGGACTACAGAGTACAGTAAGGACTAGAGTACAGTAAGGACTACAGAGTACAGCAAGGACTACAAGGGTAACGTAAAGACTAAACTTGGATTGGGTAAAAGTTACTGTAAGGACTTCACATTGTGTAGCATCAGTATTTATTATCTTTTTTGGAGTCAATGTCTATCTTCCAAATGGTTTATTTACCAATTACTTAACATTCCTAATAATTACTTTGATCATTTCATGATAGCTGTAATAGATAGGTAAAACGCATACATCTACATTGTGTAATGTTCGACTAGCATAAACATGATCGATACATGTTCCAAATTCAGTTGTTGGTACAGCTGGGTCTGACAGTAATCTGTATCTTTGGCGTATCAAGAAATCATGAATAGGGTGCTTCTCTGTATCATTCAAATTTTCATTTAAATCACCAACAATAAGAACTTTTTTATACTTTTTGTGAACATGATGTAAAATGTTCTCCATTTCTAAAATAAATTTGGTATTCACTATTTTCGGTGACTTATATAATGTTATCACTGCCATATCTTTAACAATGGTTAAAGCATTGTCCAACGGCGACATTATGCTAGATGTCTGCAAGTTTCCTAAACTATTCTTCTTATAAATGGCAATTCCACCTTTACGGCTTGCGTCAATTTCTGTTTTTCTATTCACTATATGTGGAGGATCAAATGTTTCAATCTCAAGAATATCATACACATTTTCATGTCTAAGCCATGTTTCTGTGAGACACATAATATCACATGAGGTCAAATCAGTGTTACACTTTACATCTTCTATATGACCTATCAAACCCTGTGTATTATGATAAATAATTGTCAAGTCATTTTCAGTTGCTATTTCAAAGTGAGGTAAATATTGAGATATATCTAACTCTGTCATCTCTTCTAAAGCCTTTGCTGTTTTTTCGTCGCAATATATTTTCTTTGGGTCGTAATCAATTATATAAAGACCTTCAGCTGATGTTACCCTACTGAAAGCAACATATGCTTGACCACCCGTAAACAAGTTTGCACAAGATATGGCAAGTCTTTCACATGTTTTTCCCTGCAATTTATGTATAGTGCAGCCATATGATAATATCAGTGGTAGTTGACGTCTCATAAATTTGCCATTGACTTCATCATTATATGGTTCAATACATATAGAATCAGGGTGAGCTTTAGACTTATTTTTATATCTGCTCTTTATACCTACTTTTGGATTATCAAATTTAACCCATACGGCCTTCGGCATATTGTCTGTATCATTTTCAAATTCAATAGCGGTAACAACACCAAATGCGCCATTAGCCAGTCCATCAGCAGTACATATATTTTTTATTAGAAGAACATTTGCACCAACGCAAATTTGTATTTCATGAGATAGGGTATCATCCCGATGATTTGGTGGTTTGTCAGTTTTTTTCCATTCTTGGCCTTTCAATTTGGTGTAATCAATTGCTTTTACATTATATACTTTATTATTAGTTGACTTTGCATAAGACAATATTCTCTTCTGATTATACTCATTCACTTGGACATGCTTAGAATATATCCTCATGACATCTTCAGGAATTGGTTTTTTCATTATTTCTCTAATGAATTCATCGTCATCAGTCGATATTTTTTCTCCTTTTTTAAGAATTCTAATTCTGTTTAAAAATTCGGCATATTTAAGATCATCTTTTTGTCTCATAATTTCAGTCAGCTCTATTTTCTTGAATTTTCCCCAAGGATTATAATCTGGCTCATCAGAAGTCAATAAACTTTTCTGCATAACTGGGGGCAATTGATAAAAATCTCCGAATGCTAATACTGAGGTGTTACCAAAGTCTGGATGGTTGCCAGGTTTTATTTGCTTAAGTCTTCCGCGTACTGTGTTAAAAAGTCTGACACTTACCATAGAAATCTCATCAACTATTAGATTCTCTAGAGATTTTAGTCTCATTTTTAAGGGAGCTATATCTTTTTCTTCAAGAGGCTTATATTTTGTAGACATAAATCTTGAAGTGATTCTAAATGCCGAATGCAACGTATTACCATTAATTTGGAATGCGCTTGTTCCTGTTGGACTTGTTAATAGTACACTCAAGTCATCTGGGTTCTTTAAAAGATTTCGCAATAAATGTGTGGAAATATAATGGATGCACTTAATCAAATGTGTTTTACCTGTCCCTGCTTTTCCACAGATATGAAGAAATAAAGGTTCAACTTTTTTATGCCACGATAACTCTAAGCATCGTTTCCTTATTAAGTAAAACACTTGTTTTTGCTTTGCATTCATAGTTCTCATTAACTTCATGGCTTCCTCTGTAGGTATTGTGTCTGTCTGTAGTTCTACAAGACAATTTACATTTCCTTTAACTTTTGTTTTAAGGTCAATATCAGGCATATCGTTTTCATCAATTTCATCACAATTGGGTTTAACATATTCGGAAATACACTCCTGTCTCTCCAGTTCTTGCTGTGGTGCTAACTGAGCCCATGCATTCTCATATGTATCATCTTCATTTAACTGTTCTTGCGCAGCATCTAAATCATCGCCAGTAACATCATAAATACATTTATATTTTGACACAATTTCAGACACTTTCAAAAATATTTCTCCATGTTTTA